TTTACCTTGACGGAAAAAGCATAATACTGGAGAATATGTGATACATTATTGAATGCTCACAGACTGCCGACAGGGAGTGACATGCAGCAAGGCCAGACTCTGCTGTAGAACTAAATTGCGTCTTTCAGTTCCAGGCCAGAAGACATAAAGCGAGTAAGGAAACATAAAATGTTCTAAAACACCTGAAGGCCGTATTAAGTCACTATATTATCATTACAGTCACCTGAATGTGACACATAAACATAACATGTATTCCACAAGGAGTCTGAAGGAATTCAAATTCAGCTCATTTTTATATGCCCCTCCCCCCCACCAAAAAAAAAAATAGCTGCCCCAAAGCAGTTAACAGGAAGCGTATGAGAGACGTCGTAACAACATCTGGTACTTTCAAAATCACTGGCGTGCGGCTGGATATTAAAGGAAATATGAAAATCAACAATGAATACGTGGCTTCAAGGTCCTGAAATCCACTCTTGGACCTCGTTTGTAGGAAGGGAACAGGCGCCTGCATTTCCAGCAGAGTGTCTACAACTTGGGTGCTGTGGTGCAGAAGTGGAGATTTCAGGTCCAGATTGTAAAAATCCAGTCCAAGATTTTGTTTCAACCAACCATTTGAGCATAAAGAGTCACAGACACAGAGTACTCAGCTGCTTGGTTGAAGCAAAATCTTGGACTGGATTTTTACTTTCTGGACCTGAAATTTCCACCCCTGCTGTGCTGCCGAATTGTTTGCCTTTCTGGTATACAGGGTTAGATACTCTCTAGTCCAGAAGCCCTTTCTGGTGCCCTTGTGCTTGGAATCAGTCCAGCAGCTTCATTTAAATGCAAAACTGGCTTCATTCATAATGCTTTATGAATGCATTATAGTGCATTTTGATGGTGTTCATAGGTTCCTATAGACATGGCATTCACAGACAGTGTTACCTTTAATTTTTTTAATTGGCCGTGACACGTCTACTAGCCCAGGGATTGTCAGACTTTCCAAGCACAAGGTCTCTCTGTTGACTATTACATTGGGTGGGGGTGTCCCTCTGTAATTTTTGCCGATTGGGGAAGGCGAGTTTCCCCCAGGTAGCTCTTTAGAGCTGGTGATCGGATCCCTGTGGCAGTTCAATACAGACCAAATCAAATTAACCTATTACTGATCTGCGGCCGGCTAGACGGCCGGATATGGGGCCGTGGGCCGCCGGTTGGAAAACCCCTCACTAGACCTGCACCTCAGCGCAGAGCCAAGTCACAGGACAGGTGAAATGGCTTCTCATCACAGCTGGACGCTGTGGCCGCACTCCGGACCAGTGGGACACGCTAGAGACAGACCACCTCTCCTTCCTCGCTAGGCAACCTGGATGAGTCACCGCCGGAGGAATGAGGTCAGCGAACGGAGCAGATGTTTCCCATCTGCGGGCGGGAGGCATCCAAGGTTTACGCTTCTCCGTTCGGGCTTCTCTTTATCTTGGAAGGGCCTTTCCCAGGGGGGGAAACAAACGCAACGCCTCACGTCGTGCCCCCACCCTGCCGATTTTACCGGAATCGCTGTTTATCTGTTTCAGCACAACTGGCTTCACTCTGTGCAATCCTTCAGAGATTAGCGGGCCGGTTTTATCCATACCGAGTATTAAATTCCTCTTACACAAACAAAAAGCACTTTTGACCTTCTTCCCGATCGTTTCACACTTTGACTTTTAAAAACACGGTCCCTGGCTGATATCATCACACCATTTAAAACGGTCGGTAACATTCAGAGAGTCCCTGTGATCTAGAAGTCAGCAGAGTCTGTTATGATGTGTCCTGTTTCACGTTATGGACATTATGGGGCAATAACAATATTATAGTCAAATGTATCACATGACATCAACAATATAAGATGGATTATGGATTTGGGGGGAGGGGGGGTGGAACTATGGAGACTGATGAAGGGCAAGACAACATAAGGTATGTTTCTGTGAAACTTCCCCTTTCGTCACAAAGGAAATGAATGAAGGGCTCACTGTTTCCCATTGTGTACGAATGAACGTTTATATGATACCCGGTGATGGACTGGTGTCCTGTCGCTGCACCTCTCCTGCTTCCTGGAATAAACTCTGAATCACCATGACCTAGATTTGATGAACTTCACTGAAAAAAAATGAGAGGATGCGAGGTGCATTGTTCAAATCAATCTCATTTTCATAAATCTTTTAACAGGTAACTCCTACAAAAATAAATACTGAGATTTTGTAATACTCCCTTGGCTCAGCTTGTTTAAAATAATAAAAAAAAATTAAAAAGAGAGGATTTTTTCCGTTGAATTCAGGACACGGATCTTTGACAGAGGTGGTTTGATTTTGGCCTCCCTGCTGTTTCCAACACAATCGAGAAACATTGACTAAATACTTCTTTACTCGTCTGGAATGACAGGAGCAACTCAGCGTGGAATTTTCAGCTTAGTCGTGGGAGAATCTCCAGGGAATTCAAGCATAATTCGATATTTAATAGCATTTTTAAAACAGTATTATTCAGACAAATATGAGGACATCAAATAAGCTTAAAATAGGTATTCCTATTTGCCATCAAATCACAAAAACACTGTTGTAGGGATAGGGGAGATCTTTTATAGACCAGTTATAACAATCATACCAAAAACAAACCCTTAATTATTTATTCCCAAGCCAGCTAGAATATTACCCCTCTGATTATCTACAGAATAACCAATGACACTCTAAGTCACTTAGGGAAGATCTTATGTCAAAGGATACCGTCACCTAATTTATTAACATTCAAATCAGGCATCCAATTAGAAATTACCAACTGTGATGCGAACCATTTCCTGGTCCGTGTCTGATGGGTACCGTGCATACTGATCTGCCCTGTTCCAGACAGACCGATTATAGCCAGAGAGACTGCCAGCAAACACGGCTGGGATATACCTGATGCTCTGCCATCCAAGTTCCCACTCTGACAGGTATAATAAATTTATTTAACAGGATTTCACAGACCCCATTAAACGGTTATCTGGTGACCTTCACCGCAAAGAGCTTTCACTAAACGATATCAGTGTAGGTTAATATTTCATACTCAAATTTAAATACTTAGATCAAAGAAAACAAGACATTTATCGGTAGCTTCGTCGTACGCAGTGGCTCATAAAATATTAAGGCAGAACCTCCTGGCTGGAACAGATGCAGTACGGACCCCGCGATCTGCCAGGCAAGGGTCTCCAGGTTTGCTCGCTCGTTCCGCCCCAGCAGCGGGGTCGTTCGAGAGAGCCTGAGGTATTCCTTATGTCTGTCAGGGCAAATTCTTTTGAGCTCCTCCAGGTTTGCTTTGGAGGGATGGCTGTGAGTGTTGGACGATCGCAATGCATCGCACGGTGCTGCAAGTATCATCCTGGGGTGGCGGGTAGTGGGGGGTGGGCAAAAAGCATTCCTTCCCCTCTGCATTTCCTTTGTCTAAACCTTCCCAATGGATCGACCAGCACATTGGTTACAATGGGGAGTTAAATCATAATTAGAGAGACTGTGCTTGCGATGGTTGTGCGGTGGGGTGGGGGGTCTTGAATGAACCGCTCAGTTTATTTGTTGTCATTTGTTTCTGATCAGTCTTAAAGATGCAGAATGTTCATTTGTCGTTGTTTTATCACTTTGAAGCAATACGAAAAACTAAAAAATGTCAAACATGCTTTTATTTGATATGCGTATTATACATATAGTGCAGTTAGATAGTACTTGACATTTGTTAAGCAGCATGTAAATCCTTCTCACACATCCGTTTTCTGTCACTGTTTAGCCTGTTTTGGGTCGCAGGGGGGTCCAGAGCCCGTCCTGGAGGCTATGGGCACAAGGCAGGGAACCACCCAGGACGGAGGACCAACCCATAACAGCGCTCACTCACACACCATTCACGACATGTAAATGAAACTTAAAAATGCATTAAAATGGCTTACGACCACAAGCAGGACTCTTGCTTATTCATGCGTAATGTCCAGGTGAAAATGCATTAAGACATCAAGCTACTCACAGGTTGCTTAATTCTTACTCCTGTCTCACCCCCAGCAGACTTCAGCTAGAACGTGAAGTTTGGGCAGGAGTACGGCAAGTGCAATAAGTAAAGAAAAAACAAGAACATGGGACAGAGACAGAAACCAAGGCATATGTCACCCACTCTAGAAATGAAAAACACATTTTTAGCGCAAAACCATTGACTTTGAGTCTTTTACAAAATTTTGGGACATTAGCTTTTTTCTTAATGTTGGAGGAGGCGGAGCTGGGCTTCTCTATGTCTGTATTTACAACCTTTTTGTTACATTTGACCTATATTTACAGAACATTGCATGTTGCTATTCAACACCCTGTCCAGCAGGGGGCGCAATGGGGCAATCAGAATTAGTAATAGAATCAGAATGCTTTTGTACAATTGTTACAATGTTTTGTATGTATAATGCATGAAGATGGTAGGGCCTCTGGCACTAGGGTGCCTGTTCTCCCTGTGTCGTCATGGGGTTTCTTCTGGGCACTCTGCCCCCCCAGTCCAAAAAGATGCTGAAGTTAATTGGAGTTACCAAATTGCATGCAGGCGTCCATGTGTGAGTGTGCCCTTCGATAGTCTGGCACCCCATCCTGGGTTGTTCCCTGCCTTGTTCCCATACCCTCCGCGATAGCCCCCCCCGTGACCCCGAATAAGACGTGCAGTTTCAGAAACTGGATGGATAGATATGAAAATGGTAATAAATAGGCAGGTGAGTTTAAAAATAGGTGCAGAACTGTGGTGAAACATATATCGTTTTTTTGCTGGTAAAATAAAATAGTGCATGCAAAAGATAAATAAATAGATATCAATAAAAATTGGTAGTATTCATAGCACATGTGCCGTGAGTGATTTACCGGGCATTCAGATATCAATCATTCAACTTCCAGCCATGACCGTAGCGTAGTGAGACTGAGAGTCAGCCCAGGCCTTGGGGGAGAATGTCCATCCATCCATATTCTAAACACATAACTTCATCAGAGTCATGTGGTGCATAGTAAATTTAAGGACGTGTTTATTAATAAACATTTGATTTACTCCAGAACAATATTAACAATACATTGAGATGTCGGCCTTAATCTGTGCAATATTTGCTGAAACAAAATGATAAAAATGAAAATGAGGAAATGAAACAGAGTGACTCATCCCGAACGAACGTCATCATTAATTGCAGAAGTTTTGCCTTTGGCTGCCATCTACAGGAAAGGAGCAGAATTGCAGTCAAATACTTTAAATGCGTCTCTGTGAGCAACAGCACAGCGAATATGACCATGAAAATGTCCCACTGTCCCTGATATAGACGGTTCCAATGGGTCCATAACGACCCCCAGCGGTTCTACAGCAGGGATGATCCAGAGCTGGGTGCTGGTGGTCAGTGTGTCTGCGGCTGTTCTGCTCTGTGCTCCTCTCTCTGTCGGTACCTACTGGCTGGGGAGAAGACAGGGTGAGTCCCCTGGGTCACCAAAGATGACCTGCATGTTCAGGTCTGAGAGCCTGGGGTATTGCTGAGATGCTCTATGCTGTTTATTCCTGACCTGCTGTAGAGACTCCTTTGGATGTTTCGGCTGATCTTGCTCTGATGTTTATTTCTGTAAGGTTACAACAGGCCGCAGCTAAACTAAGAATTACAAGAATTACTGATGATGAGGTAAGCAGTGTGGCGTTATAGGTTAACCTCTTTGCTGCTGAATCATTTATTGTTCAGATATTGTATTAAAATGGTAAATGTGATTCGTGTGATACAGTATGAAATGATGACAATACAGGCAGTTATTGACTGGCGTAAGTAATATATACCACAGGCCTTTACCTCAGTCAAATTTTACAGAATAAAATTGTTGGATTAACCTCCTCTTACCATTCAAGACAAAAACAAACACATTGTCTCCCAGTCTGTCTACGTTTGGGGGCACGGAGAGCATAAGCAGCACGTTTAGGAAAACTTATGCAACTGTCTATTTTCTTATTCAGAATGTCACATTTAGGCACTCTCTGAAGCTGCTTTCAAACCTGTATGTTGATTCTAAGTGACATAAATAGGTTTGTTGTCCAGCCTACTTATAAGTATCAGTTCTCAGAAAAGCCATGTCCTCACCCACTTCCACTGCACATATTGCCGAATGTTTTTAGACTCAGAGTCTTTTTTTGAAGGTATCGTCATTGTGCAGAAGATACAAGCAGGAGAACCCCGGCTTCTGCGCACTGTGCAGTTCCTACATTAAACTGCTCACTAAGAACTCTGTGGATTATCTGCAGTAACTTGGTCCTGATTCCTGGTAAGAGACGTCGCTGTTGGATTTTTCAAATGTATATTTTTGCCGCTTTAATCACCACAGAAATAATGCTAATCAGTCCCATTATACAGTATGAGAGAAAACCAACATTTCTAAGGCCAATAACTCCCAGCAGAACGACCCAGATGGATAGTTAGTACTAAAGCTCCACTAAAATATGTTTTTTTCAGTTTTGGGGTGAACTGCCCCTTTAAAGCTGGAAATCTGAATTTCGAACATAAAGCTAACTTTACTGCAGTAAGGTACATTGTGTGTTACATTCATTTGTTTCCATCTACGGTTATAAGCTTCCCCACAGTCGAAGTGGCATGTGAGCAAATGGAACAATCGAAATGGACATTAAACAGTATAATCAATGTTGTTTCTGAATTTAAAGAAGAATTAGAGAAAAAAAAATCAAAGAAAGTATTTAATGCCTACAGAAATCACATTTAAGACGTCATATTATTTTAAACCTTGTTTTTTCTTCTTCAAATTGATTTAATGCTTTTAATACTGTTTAGTGACCTGCGGAAATGTGTGATGAAGGTAACAGACCAGCCTTGTGGTACAGACAATGCTCTCATGAGAATCAGCCTGAGAATTTCTGCATGATTCTCTTCTTCGTTTCGTGTGGAATTCCTCATTCACTTCATATAGTCCTTGGCTTAAAAACATCAAAGAGTCTGATCTGGGACTTTACTGTTGTTTCACAAAATATCTCAGTTTTCAACAGACCAGATGTAAGAGCTCAAGAACAGCTAAGAGTGCAGGTATCATCCGTCTCAGATTCATTGCAGTAATGTGCATATGCTGCTCTGATTGGGATGACAATCCTGATAATCTGGGACCAATAAAAGAATAAATAGTAAAAGAATTACAGAAAGAAAAATAAACAATGTACATTAAGGATGATCAAAAACAAAATACATTTCATTAGCTCTTATATGCATGCTAACTTTGTAATATTATAAATGTTAAGTTTCGATAATAGGAATACAGGTAACTATATTTTAGCATTTATAAATGATTGTTATGGCAGTGATGGGATAATGGGGATTCAATTTTTAATTCGTACATGCATCATTCACAAAACGGAAGTAATTAATAATAATAATAATAATAATATAAAGTACTGTAATTTTATATTATATGTAATATATAATATATTTAATAGCTAAATAAAATATATTGTCTTAGGTTTATTTTTCATTGTCATTTGATACTTTTTTGATAATTTTTTGTTTAAAAAGTGCCCAATCCTAAGGACCATTCCTTTTCAGTCCTTTTAAATGTAAAACAATTAGAAAGACCATGTCACATCATGGGCAAGGACAGAGGCGAAGGCAGGTGTGGGAAACCAAAGGGGGCTTTATTAATTGAAATTACAGGCAGGGCAAAAAGAAAACAGACCATGAGAGGTCAAAACATAATTTTACAAATGAGAGGAGGCCATTCGGCCCATCAAGCTCATTTGGGGAGAACTTAACTAATAGATCAGAGTTATTAAAATCTTATCTAGATCTGATTTAAAGGAACCCAAGGTTTTCTTGCACTACACTAACAGGAAGACTGTTTCATACTGTACACGCTAAGTAATGAAGTGTTTTCTCAAATCGATCTTAAAATGTTCTCCGACTGATTTCCACCTATTGGCAAGAGTTCTAGTATTTAAACAAAATATTGAAGTAGCCATTTGGCTGAACAGCATCCAGACCCGTTAGAATCTTATAGACCTGGATCATGTCCCCCCTTAGTCTCCTTTGCTCAAGGCTAAACAGATTCAGCTCAGCTAACCTCTCC